TTTTGCTTTTCCAATTTTTACTCTTTTTTTCGACCACAAATTCTCTTGGCTCTCAGCAAACTATTCTCCAACTCCCTTTTAAATTTTGTTAAGATATTAATAGCTGAGTTTATTTCTGCATTTGCTTTAAGCTTCTTAAGAATTTACAAATAAACCCTATACCTGCAGACTCTTGCTATATAGTCCTACAACAGCTCATCGAGAGTCTCGAGTGCTCTGAATCACGCTCTTTGTCTCGGGTTTTCTATATTGGGCCCTCTGTCTCAGGCTCTCTGTCTCAGACACTCTGTCTCAGGCTCTCGTGTCTCGGGCTTTCTCGCTCTTAAGTTCTTTGTCTTGGGCTGTCTGTCTCTTTGTCTTTGTTTCATTCTCCTTGTCTCATTTTTTATGCCTCGGGATCTCTGTCTCGAGTTCTTAGTCTTGGACTCCCTCTGTCTCGGGCTCTATGTCTTTGGCTCTCTGTCTCGAGTTCTTTATTTTGGGCTCTCAGTCTCGTTGTCACTATCTCATTGTCTCTGTTTCATTTTCTTTGTCTCCAGATCTCTGTCTCGGGCAGTCTGTCTCAAGATCTCTGTCTGTCTGTCTAGAGTTCTTTGTTCTTTGCTCTCAAGCTCTCAGTCTCATTCTCTCAGTCTCATTCTCTGTGTCTCATTCTCTCAGTCTACTTCTCTCTGCCTGGTTCTCCCAGTCTCATTCTCTCAGTCTCATTCTCTGTGTCTCATTCTCTTTGTCTACTTCTCTCTGCCTGGTTCTCCCAGTCTCATTCTCACCTTCTCGACCTCACTGCCCCTAGCTCAACTCACTTTCAAGTCTTTTTCTTTCAATCAATCCAGCTCGAGCATAGTTTGCCTTGCACACAACTTCTCTAGCTCATCTCTAACTGGCACGCAGGATAAGGTCGTGTTATCTTCATTTACACTCACAAAGTCGAGCCATAAAAGTGCGTCGGGATTGTCGCCAAAAGTTTTGCTTTCTTAATTTTTTGTCTTCACATGCGCTGATAATAATTTGTGTTCCTCTTTTTGGCCTTTGCTTGCCACGTCTTTGGACTTTGTTGCTGCCCCAACGAGTCGCTGTATCTCTCTTTTTATGTGTGAGCGCACTTTATGAGGAATTCACTTCAGTTGGTTATTTTATCTTTCGCCTGATGCGCTCAGTTGTCAACGCGGAGGTTTTAATTAAAAGCTCATAGGTCGACGCGCTTCATAATTACCAAAGCTGACAAAATTTCATAAATAATTTATACAAATAAATTAATATTAATGCTGTCCTGTTGGCCCTAATGGGCCCAGCCTCCAGCTACGTTCATTATAATGGCTGACGCACTGTGAACCGGATTGACTTCGGCTCGCAGTTTGCCTGCTAAACTGACATTAAAAGGATTTGAGCTGCCACGGCGTGCCGCTCGCTCCATTATGCCTGACACTAATGATAGATATTGCTTAGAGTTGGCGAGAATCTATAAATCTGTACATTAAATATGCCCCAATGCGAAATAATAGTAGTTGAAAAGTTCAGAGCGTTCTCTAATGCTGATGAATGGCCGTCTCTGGAGTTTGATAAGCCACGTCGACTGCCTAATGGCAGCGAGAGCGCCTCAGCCCCTCAGCCCCATCCAGAAGGTAGCAATGTTCCCGTTCTCGTTGCGAAACTTTACTCTGACGAGTTTCAGGGTTGCTTCGTGGTTTCAACTGTTTCGGTTACGTTGGCAACTTTGCATGCGGTTTGTCTTTGGTTTGTATAAGGGCACAAACGCCCACCCTTCCACCCGTCCACCCGCCCAAGCCAGCTTCGACTCGTCGCTCGACACCCGTTGCCATGCCACAAATGAATTGCAAGCCAGCTGCAATTGCTGCACTTGATTTGTGGTACGACTTGATGGTTAACAATTATCTGACAACAGTTTGTCCGACCGACTGTCAGCTCCAACTTTGAATAAACTGTGGCCAACTGTGGCCCGTTGACACATTTGACCAAGCATAGTTAAGATTTAGCCAGAGCCAATTGTAATTGCAGCTGGCCGAACTGCCGCATCCAGCAATTGGCTCGTTTTAAGTGTTGTAGTTGCTTATGAGAGAGGTTAGAGGTTGGATATTAGCTAAATAATATTTTTATATATATAAAAATATATTCTATATTGTTTAATAAGTAAATACTTTTATATATCTATAAATTACTTTTATTTTGCTTAACTATTTTTTTAAATTTTTTTTGTCAGTTTAAAAATTTAAAAATATTTTTTTAAATTACTTAAATTTTTTTTTTTTGAATTTTCAAGCTGCAAATCTAAATTTGCCTTTTTTTCAAATACTCAATTTAATTTTAGAGCATGTCTATATACCAAAAGACACACACACATATATATATATATATATATTTTTATTTATAAATATATTTTTTTATATATTTATTTTTTATTATATATTTTTATTTATATATTTTGAAGCTTACCTTTTGCATTCGTTTATTTTCGTAACTTAAAAATAGCAGCGGGTTTCATGTCAATCAGCTTCTGTCACAGTGCTGCTGCTGATTCATTTGTCAATTAAACCTAATTGGAATTTCACTTTCATTGACTGCTGGGCAACGCCTTCAGCTGCTAATTAAAAGCGAAAAATCTTGGCGCCAAAAAATTGATGGGGCGTGGCTCATTAACCTATTGCCGCGGGTCGCCCGGGCCCGAGCCAGCTAATTGCGCTACCATTTTGCATTTTCCATTTTCTATTTTCCATTCTCAAAGCTGTCAATAGAAAATTTTCCTTTTTTTATTTATGTTAATTTTATTTTCGTCTCTTTTTTTTGTGGGCTAAGGTTGCGCTCAATTGCTTTTGTAATCAATCAAAGTCAGGCAAAATGTGGGTGGCCAAGGGCTGGGAGTTGGCCGAGGGAGAGTGAGCAGTGTATGTTTTATGCTAGTCTAAGCTGCGCTTCTAAAATGCTGCCAAACTCATCTCCAGTTGCAGCAACTGAAAAGGAACCAAAGCCAAAGAGCGATGATTGTCATGTGAGCTGCTCCATTTGCTGTTTTGTGGTGTTGACGTGACACTTGAACGACACTTGACGCCCGATAATTGATATTGTAACAGGCAAAGGGTGTGCAGCGGGAGCAGCGCCTGCCAGTGGGTGGGGGTGGGTGTACGAGCCAAGCATATACTTGACAAGCTGCTTGTAATTATCGCTGACACTGTGGCAACATTCAATGAATCAATGTCAGCGGAATTTGCATAACTGTAACAGAATATATAGCATATATATCTATATAGCTTAAACTATGCGACAATCGCTTAAAGCTTGCCCCAAATTGTAATCCTTGTTAATTGCTTTCCTTCTATTGGACTCCACTTGCAGCTTTAAGCGCACTGATATTGGACACAATGGTAAACAGTCTTATAAACTCTAAGATACACACATGCGTGTGGTGTGTGTGTGTGTGGGTGGGTGGGTGGTTGGGTCATTTAATGCACAGCTTTTGCTAGTACCTGCCTTTTGCTTTACTTTTAATTACCAACTCAAATTACACGGCCAGACACACATACACAATGGGACGCACACATACATACACACACACACCCGCACACACACACAGTTACATTTGGCTGCTATTTTGCAAGAGGGAACACAAAAACGTTGGAACAGCTGTTTGGCTTGTACTTGGCCGGAATGGCATGAGGGACAGAGAGAGAGAGAGCAAATGGGGAATTTGGAGCGTTAGACGGAGATGTGAATGGAGCGCTGGGGCTGGCTGGAAGGGCGAGAAAGCAGAACCGCAGAACTAAACTTCAGCAGTCGCCATCGTTTGCTGCACATTTCATTACAATGCCATTGTATTCAAATCCTATTATAAAGCGCAAAGCACTGCAGTGGGAACAAGGGATGCAGCGAGAGAGAGACACAAAGCGAGACACAGAGAGCGAGAGGGAGGTATGGTAATGGTGCAGCTGGAGAAGTTCGTGTTTGCAGCACGTTTCCACTTTCGCACTTGGTAAACATAAGTTGGCCACGCACAGACACAGATACAGACACAGACACAGCGGTGGGCGGCTGGGTGTGGCCGTGTAACGGAACTGGCTACTGGAGACTAGAAGGCAGCCCGTGTGCAACACGGTAAATTCTGTCAGTAAACTGCATAAGCGGAAGAAATTATTCTGTAAGTCAGTCCAAAAGAAATTAAGGCGCAAAATACATATTTGCAGGCTGAGCTGCAATATTCAACTAAGCTAAAATATGCATTTAGATGTGCAAAAAATAAGGTAGAAAAAATACCTGACAGGTACAGAGCTCTCGGGTTCAATAAGCAAACTTTTTAAATATGTTTTCTCTGCTGCTTAGGTCAATGAAATCTTTTTTCTCTTAATTGTTCTGTAAAGCCGAAGGGCTGATGGGAATTATCGGTTAGCCAAGGAAGTTCAATAGATAAGATATTAATGAAAATTCGAGTACTTTTTACTACTATCAAATATATATATCATATACATGCATAGCTCTTGAAAATATAATATTTACGAATTACATGTAAGTGTAAGCGCTTAGCTGCATAATGGGTTCAAAAACCATAGAAAAAACGCAAAAGCAATAATGGCGGCTGTGGATTGTATCTACTTAGCTCACAGTTAGTCATAAAAGCTGTTATCTGTATAGACATTTCTTATTGGCGCCGCAATTTGAGCAGTATTGCCATCCTACTCACACCCATGCATTTTGTATATTCTCGCTCTGCTGTAGAAGCACAAAATGCGGTCAAAACAAGTGATAATGGCGACTGTACAGAACGGATATATCTCTCGCATTATACACAGTAACGTTTGCAGTTTCTTTGAACACTTGCCACTCACGTTTCCTTATTCAGAAATAATAATCGCGTTAAGTAGTAATTAAAGCTGCTTCGCATAGATAAATTTTCACAAAAAATTTTTTATATGCGTAGCTCTTAAAAATATAATATTTACGGATTACATGTAAGGGTAAGAAAGTATTTTTTTTGGTTTTTTTCTGGTTTTTCATTTTTTTTTGTTTTTTGAATGATAACAGTTAATCGATATCTTGTTCTTCAGCCACAGGTAGCGTGCTCTCGTCTAAGGTGACGCCTTGCAGCTCAATGTAGCGCAGTTTACTTTGAGTTGACCAGGGCCTGATCCAAGGTAGCGACATTAGCATCATGATCTGGGATGGTATATACTTGCACGGCAGCAGAGAAAGCAAATCTTCATTCTTTTTCTCTAGCGGCTGTGCATCGTCATCCAGCTCTGGAAAGAGCAAATGCTGCGTACAATCTGACACCGGTGATGGTTGTAGTTGGGATTGGGATTGGGATTGGGATAGGGATTGGGATTGGGGATTGTGTGGCAGCTGCAGCTGCTCATCACACAGCATGGAGAGCAGAAGATGCTCGGTGAAGATCGCGTGTTGCTGCCGCTGGAGATTGTCTCGCCGGGTTGCCTCCACGTCTGCGTGCTGCTCAGCCATCCACTGTTGCAGCAAAAACCGATCTGCCTCCGAGTGATCCAATAACAAAGCAGAGCCGCCCCCATCATTGGCGCACAAGTGGGCTGGGCCATTGGTGAGCGCCTCGGGACTAGCAATGGCCAGGGCAGTGGGCCGTGAACGTGAGTCCCCTTCTAGGTAATTGGTTGGCGTCTGGCTGAAGCGCAATTCCGGGCGAAGGCGTCTCAGTTCGGACAGCTGATAGAGTATATCGATGCCAGCTTCAGAGTCCATGCGGCTGCTATTGGAGCGTGCTGAGCTGCGACTGTTGCTGGCATTCTGGTTGCCCGTATTCGGTAGCTGCTGGCGCCGCCGACGGCGCGACACTCGGGTCAAAGCGTGGCGCAGTGGCGGTGTATGCGGATCCAGCAGATTGGCGTGCTCGATGTGGTTGAGCAGCAAATGGCGTGCCAGATTGCGTATGGCCACCAGCTCAATGCCCGGAAGACCGGCGCACATGGGACATACTACATGGCTGTCCGCCTGGCGGTGCATGGTCACAACATGATCGATCAGCTCCTTGGCCGTGTGCCCAAAGATGCCGCAGTAGGGGCACGTATAACAATTGGGCAGATGCATCAGCTCAAGCAGCTCACCATTGAGCAGCAGTTCGGGCAGCTGCTGATGGTGACGATCCAGCTCGATAAGCAGCTGCATGGGATGCTCAACACGATGATCCAGCGTTTCCACATGCTGGTCATAGCACTCTCCGCACAGATCATAGTTTACGCAGCGTAAACAGTGAAATCGTCTGCCATGGAAATTGTGAGTTTGACAGCCATCGCAGCAAAAATTTCGATGGCCCATAGATTTGTTAGGATTGGATTATCAACGATCGCCCCTTCAAAGTTGGACACAGAATGAATAATCGATTTGTTAGACAGATTGGGAAATGATGCTTGGAGAGGAAATTAAGCAAAAATGTGGTCGAAAAAGTCTGGCTAGCCGTTTTGAATTTCAATTTTGTGTGCTCAAATGACAGATATTAAAATGTACTGTGCGTTTAACGAGTAGCTCACAAATAGTTGCTATGAAACAGTTTTATGAGTATTTCCCCGACGTTAAACTGTATATTTGACTTGACATTTTCTAAGATATTTACATTTAAATTATATGGAAATTATACAAGTAAATTATATTTTCATTTATAAAATACCAGTGAAAGCATTATATAAATAATTTAATACAAATTCAATGAATGACCATTACACTATTATATTCACACCTTAAATTTGCCTCACGTAACATAGAGGAGCACTCGAACAGTAGAAAAACGAGATCAAAAGCAAGACGGATAATGGCGACTCTAGGCACTTGAGCTCTCTCGCTCGATCGCCCTAAGAACGACCGCTCACTGTTTCCTGGTAGATGTTAGGCCTGTCGTGCTGATCACACTCACATGGATAGCCCAAAAACCATCTTCTTGTTCTGCTAGTCAAATATAATGGCGGCTGTGAGCAACAGTTATCTATTGAATTCTCCATAGCTGCTCTAATGCTTGCCCTTTAGATAAGTTATCTCTTTTAGCAGCAGCTCAATTATGAGAATATATGTTGTTTATGGGGTCTATCCCGTTGAAGAAATAAAACTGCATCCTTTGTATTAATTTTATGCCGTAAATAAACGATTTTATTGTACCTTGAGGGCATATTTTCTGACTCGCAGTTTTCGTTTTTCAGTATTTAATTAAATTCAATTTTAAATAATTTATTCTCGTATAACACTGTAAGTATCTATCCCTCGTTTACACACTTGAATCGCGTAGGGGTATGCCTCTGCCTCTGTTTGGCGTTTAACTTTGTTTGACTTTGAAGCTGTATTAAAATATTTTAATTACTTCATTGCCGGCAGCATTAAAAAGTTTATTGTTGCATCATTATATTCTGTTGCTGTGTGTCGGCAGGTGCCACAAGCAGGCAGAAAAATTAAGAAGCTGTTACTTGTATAATTTTATATATCTTCCTTATACGCAAAATTATTAGAACGGAAACCGCCCACGATTACAGTATCATTACTTAAAGCAATCAGCTTCATAGATAACGGCTTCAAAAACAAAATAACAAAGGGTAATGGCTGTGGACTGTGTCTGGCTTGCTCTTAGTAGTTATAAGAGCTGTTATCTGTAAAGACAACACAATCTGAGCAGTACAGCCATCCTTCTCACACCCATGCATTCTTCATAGTAGTCTCGCTCTGCTGTTGAAGCGCACGACGCGATCAAAACAAAAGTAATAATGGCGACTGTAGTCAGTTTTTTATTCTCTTAAATTCTACCCAGTAATGTTGGATTGGCTATGCAATCCGAGCCAAATTGCCATCTCACTCACGCACGCACGCATTCTTTCTAGTTGTTTTGCTCTGCAAAACGTGCATTCATCCTACTCACACTATCATATTATATATATAATGAAAAAGAGATTACAAGTAATAACAGAATTTCCAACGTTGGATAACTTACTGATCTCTCACACTCTCCACAGCAATGACACACATATTTATAATAAATGATTAGTAATACTGTGTATATTATCGACATTTACATATTTCGCCATTGTTCTTAAATGTAGAGCTCTGCAAGCTCAACTTGACTGCAGCTGTCTGGCTAGAAATTTTGTGCAATGCTAAATGAAAAGTAAATAAATACGCAGCTTTAGAGGAGCTGCGCTTGCAAGCGTCGCATCATTCGTAATGTGGCCCATAAATTTGAAGCAAATATATTGCACATACGCACTGTGACCCGCAGAAGAACTAAACAAATATTCTAGTTGTAGTTGTAGTTGTAGCTGTAGTTGTTCTGGTTGCTCCAGTTGTTGTTATTGTTATAGCCAAGTTTGCTTTCGGGACGAGTTGGGTCAGCGTAGCGCAAACTGCAGTTGAAATTGCCTTGACATATTGCTTAAAACCAGACCCAACGGAGTCACCAGCCCCTCCCAGCAAACAACTGTCTTTATCTGCATAAGTGTGCGTGTGTGTGCGTGTGTGTGCATATGTGTGTGCAAACGAGTGTTTGTCAAAAGCATGCAAGTCATTCAACTCAATTTTATTTATTGTGCAACTGCTGTGCGTTGTCTGTTTGCTGAGACAGCACTAACAACAACATTGCAAAAGCAAGCATAAAACCCAACACACATTCATCTATTTAATTAATAACAAACACTGCACACATGCCATACATAACACACAAAACTACAGCAAAAGAACAAAATATCATGCAACTACACAGTGCATAGGTTCTAATACCCTAGCAACATAATTTAGCTAATTGTCAGCTGCGAAATCTTCACTTTGATATATGTAACTCAAGTGTAGATAATACAAAATGGAAATACCTTTAAAATATATAGTCTATATATAATTGGGAGAACAATGCAATGAATTTGCAACGGGTTAACAAGCAAAAGTCTTATATATTATAAATGAATAATAAATCATAACATTTATTGCAAATAAATGAGTTTCTTCTAAATTTAAATTATAATTTCCAGCAAAAACTGGGCTTAATGCAAGTAGCTATGCCACGCCCAGTTCGGCAAATGTATATAGACAAAGCTTTACATAAATTAACTATATGTATTTATTATAAAAACAATCAGAGCATGTGTGGCATGCGTCTGGGCAGGTTTCAGACTGGCAGAGAGCGATGTGTGGGGGGCGGCTGGTGCGGAGTTATACTTAATATTCAGATAAATGTGTGGCGGGCGTTCACAACATGACGGCAAAAATAAAGAAGGAATGCAACCGGAGTTGCTGCTGCAGCTTGCAGGACAATAGCTGCTGTCAGTAACCATAAAGCGGTATTCGGCAAGGAATTGCCAAGAATGTGGGGCGCACGGGGGTCGGCAGTCTCGCCGAGTGACATGTGCAGGCAGCCAGGCGGGCAGCATGCAGCAAAGCCTGCCAAACAATAAAGGATAACATTTACACAAGCCGCCCACACAGACAAACACACACACACACATGCATACGCACGCATACTCTCGCCGAAAAGGGTCATAAAATGCTTTGGCCAACTTTGCTTTTGTGCTCGTCATCGTCAACGTACTCTTTAGTCTCCAATTCTCCACCGCTCTCCGTCTCTCCACCGCTCTGCATCTATCTCTTTCTTTCTTGCTTGCCTGCCTGCCGTCTGGCATTGTCTTTATGCTGGTTTAATCTGTGTCAAAAGGCGTGAGTTATTACAAGCCAGCCACGCCCACGCACGCCCACTAGCGACGCCAATAGTCGCTCTCACACGCACACACACATCCGGCCAGCTGAAAGCATTTGCCCCATTGTCTAGCCGCCGCTGTAGCTGAGTCTGCAGCAAGGGAAAGGGGCGCTGGGGGTGGTCTCTGAGGGCCAGATGCAGGCCAACAGATAGAACTCGGCCAAGTCAAAGGTTTATCTTTTGTCAACGGCTTTTGTGTGGCTAGCATAATCAGCTTTCCCTTTGATCGAGCTGTCCAGCCGAGACACTGATGAGCTGCAACGCCGACTGGCCTCGACTCAATTAGCACACGGAGCCAGGAAGAAAGCTGCCTAAGTTTATGATTAGAATGCTCATATGCATGTGGCAGCAAATGTGCATTCAATCAATATGTAGAAGGAAACTCACTTTGATAAGCTTGAAAAGCAGCTTAAATGCTGTTTTCTTAATCATAAATATCTTATGGTAAAATCGGCCAAGAGACTTGTCTGAGATACATATAAGTTCAGTTGAATTAGCTCAGCTGAACAGTATTTAGTTCATGCATAGAGGATTCATAGAGAACTCAGATTGACTAGCAAATCTAGATTAAATCTTTCCACAATTGACTAAGGGAAACATAACAAACTGAGTAAAAATATGATTCAGGATCCACAAAACAGTTTGGCAGGATTCATAGTGGACTCAGATATTTCAATATATACTGCCTCAATGACTTGAGTAACGATCCACAAAATAGTTTTCTCCACAGATCACTGAAATAATTTACTTTCTTTCAATAAGCCAACAACGCATATTCCCAAACTTGATCTCAGCCAAAGTTTTTCCTTTTCACTTTCAAGTCGACGCAAATAGCTTTAAGGCCTGAAGCAATTAACAGCTTAAGGCGCACTTGGCAATGCCCAGGTTCTATGCAGCTCTTTATATGCTAAAAGTTTTCCACTTTAACAACTATGTCCTCTCGCTGTGAACGCGCAGTTCCTAGGAGCCATGGGATATGCAATTTAATTGTAGCGACTTTTTCTCTTTTCCCCCTTCTCCCACTTATTCGTGTATGTTATTTGGCTTATAAAAAGTTTAATGAATTAATGAGCTCGTTGGCAATCGAATTGCGCTTGCACACTGCGTGCCACACCTCTAGCTAGCCTTTCAGATACCCTGCACTGGCTGCAAAGCGAGTTTTGAAATGTCGTTGCACTTCAGCAGATAGAGAGATGTGCTGCGCAGGGTATCTGCGAGTTGGGCACTCCATGACAGTTCATTCCAATTTGTTTTACTTACAATTAGCTCCATCGATTGTTTAATAGCAGTTGATTGTAATAAGCCAATATCGTAGAGTCTGCATTTGAATTCAAAATGCGAAATAAGTTCATTAGCAAAACGATGACGCCTCCAGTGGCGCCCCCTAGCGGACGCTCACTGTCTGTGTGCTCGTGTGTGTGTGTGTGTCGAGCCGGAAATGCCAGCTGCTCTCGCTGTGTGTCGCTTTCCCGCACTCCACAAGCGCAAAGGACAAGCTCGACTCGAATTCGCATTGCAATGTTTGCTCGTCTGTCCGCCTGTCCGTTTTGTTTAATTTGAGTTTATGCAACTTTTATGCTTATTAATACTTTTATAACCTGCTGCCTGCTGGCTGCTGGCTGCTGGCTGCTGCCTGCAGCGCTCTGGACACTTCGCTTCCCGCTCACAGCTCAGGTAATTGCCAATTTGATTTGAATTTCAATTGGCCAATTTGAACTTGTTTTTGGCCCATAAGAAGTTTTTAAGTGCGCCAAATTGTTAAGCAACGCGCGCTCTCATAATCTATGCGAACATAATGAAAGAATTTAAGAGTTTTGCTGCCAGTTAATAGATA